AACTCACGAGTTAACCAGCTTGGTTTATTTGTCGATGACGATAAGATTATCCGTTGTGACGGTCGAATTGGCCACTCCACGATGCCTGACGATGCAAAGCAACCAATCCTTTTGCCCCCAAAGCAAGAATTTACCCGGTTAATCATTCGCGAAGCTCACGAGTTAGTACATCACGATGGAATTAGAGAAACTTTAAATTGCGTTCGAAGAAAATATTGGGTTCTACGTGGTCGAGAGAGTGTTAAAGGAATGGTAAGAAGATGCGTGACGTGTAAAAGGTTTGAGGCTAAACCCTTTGCTGCAGCTAAAGAACCAGCTTTACCGTCAAGTCGAGTCAGCGATGAGCCACCATTTAGCAATACTGGTATTGACTTTGCTGGTCCCCTATACGCTGTGACGAATCGAGAATCGAAGAAAGTCTATATCTGTTTATTTACCTGCGCCTCTACTAGAGCCGTCCACCTGGAACTTGTCCCATGTTTATCCGTATCTTCATTTCTTCAAGCCTTTCGACGCTTTGTTTCCCGAAGAGGTTTGCCATCACGATTAATAACTGACAATGCTAAGACTTTCAAGAGTGCATCCAAAGAAGTAAAGAACATCTTGCGATCTTCCGAAGTTCAACGAGAAATGGCATCTAGAGGGGTGCAATGGGAATTCATCATAGAAAAGGCACCCTGGCAAGGAGGATTTTACGAACGAATGATACAGAGTACGAAGAGGTGTTTTAAAAGGATTCTTGGACGATCTTCTATGGACTTCGAGTCATTACGAACACTCTTAGTGGAAATCGAAACGACGATAAATAATAGACCACTTACGTATGTCTATGACGATGAGGAAGGAGTGTCGTACCCCCTTACACCTTCTCAACTAGTTTACGGTAGACAAATCTCGTTAATGCCAAGTGATCGACAGTTCGACATTATCAGTACTAACCGATCATTGACCAGGAAAGCGAAGAATCAAAGGCGCTTACTGGACCAATTTATTAATCGCTGGAGAACGGAGTATCTATTAAGCCTTCGAGAGACATCGCGCGTTCTTCATGGAACAGAGAAGGAAACAATAGCCGTTGGTGACATAGTTGTGTTGAAGAATGACTCAACTCCACGAATGTTTTGGAAGCTTGCACGAGTCAAGGAGCTCATAAAAAGTCAGGACGGTGTAATTCGGGCAGCAAAGATTTGCGTGGTAAATTCGGGAAAAGGGCGTGTGATTGAATTACGACGGCCTATACAACATTTAATTCCTCTGGAGCTGAAATTGAGTCCAGATACAGAAAACGATGTGTCTCCAGCTGTTGAAAGTGCACCGAAAGAAGAAGAATCGACCAGACAGCGACCGAGACGAAGTGCGGCGGTAGTTGGAGAACTTTTACGAAAGGGGATGAGATAAGTTCATTATAATCGTATAGTTAAAGTATATTTGATCACTCTGGGGTGATCAACGCCAGGAGTGTGATAAACTGTGAGACATGAACAGAGTTTCAATAACATTTGTTGCGTTTACTTTGAGCCTGATTGCAGGCTGTTGAACCTGTTCGCAGGCTAAACACGTGCGATTCGCTTTTACATACGGGAATTTTAGTATAAAAACAACAAGTTTCATATTCTTTCGATCGAACGTGTATTATCTATATTATATTCGATTATTCGAGGATATTTCGTTACGAACTCAACGTTAGTTATGTTTAAGTCTTTTATCTTATTATTTGATAGTAAAGTGATATAATTTTAATGTTATCCGTGTGTTAATTGAACGAACGTTAAATATTGAGCGAGGAAATGCGATAAATATTATGCGACGTGCATAACAGGTAGCACAATTTACTGGTTTCCCAACAGTTTACGTTGTGAGCTTTTTCTCATTCCGTGACACTTAAATTGTATACTGTAAATGTCCGTTGTATTGATTTTTAAGAACACGGCAGATGTTGATGAAAACTTTCTTAAAGCGATGGCAGACATGGGAGTTGACGGTCAAGATCCAGACTTTAATCAAGGGGTATTTCCCATGATGCAAGGCATGATGATGAATTTGTTATCGAAAGATGTTCTTTACCCGGCTCTAGATGAGTTACGAACGAAGGTGAGTTACCTAATGTGTCATTTCAGGAAACCTCTACACTCCCCCTACGCAGGAAATTTCTAGTGCCATCCAGAGGGCGAGGGAGGAGAATCTACATCTGATAATAGTACAATACACTAGGATATTTAAAGGGGGTGGGGTTAACATCCAATTTCCTTTGTGGTTGGGTGTGTTGTGTTGTGGAATGACCCAATGTCGTTTTCATTTATATTGATTATATAATTTTTATCAGTTACTCGTTTCTGATTGTTAAAGATTTCGGTGTTGTCTTTTTGATGTTTAATAGTAGTAGTAGCCTGCTTGCCGCCTGGAATTTACAAGGGGGGATAATATCCCTATTTGTTTGTGTATATTGTGGCTCTGGTGTTTGTAACTTAATAAAAATACATATCTGCATGGTTATTTTGTCCGGGAACACGCTGAGAAAATTGGTAAAATGAATTGTTAGTAAAACTAATGCTCGGAATGAAGTATTAATACACTTTTCACTGACAAGTTTCGAAAACACTGACAATCTCCTTACAAGTTGAAACAGCAGATTAAATTTCAACCCTATACTCTTTCTCATTTTTAAGTACCCTGCATGGTTGGACGAAAAGAAAAGTACCCTGCCAAGTGATGTTCATGAAAATTATTCCAAACAGTACAAATTAGTTTGTGAAATATGTTCTGAATATGATAAGGAGAACGAGAAAGACACCGAAGAAATAAAAAAGAAAAGATTTGACAAACTAATGGGGTTAATGCAAAAGGTAAGTGGGCATGTACAAACTTTTGTTAATATGCTGATGAAACGTCATCTGCAGTACCCCAGTAAATCTAGTATGTCCTCTGTCTGAATCCATCCTCGTTACTTCGTATAGATTAAATGTATACAGACGAAAGGTTTGGATATAATTATAATGAATCTGCGTGAGTAGAAGATCTGCGCGTGTATAGATAGTACAATGCACGGAGGGGATATATAGAGGGCGTTATAATCATATTTTCCCGAATCCCCAGGGGGGAGGGTTTATAAACCGAAAATTAAAAGCCTCCAAGTTGAGAGACCACATCCTTCATAAAAACGATGTTTTATATTTTATCAAGTACATTTGTCACATTTATTTCGAATCATATGTCGTTTTTTCTTCAAAATTTGCTTCATAATTTTAAAAAATAGCTTTCTTTGAAGTTTGAAATCTTAGTAATTCATTACTCCTTAGCATATTTTGCCGGCCATCTTGTTTGCGTGATCGCCGTCCTGGTTTATGCGAATCATATCACCTGCTATGTCAAATACGATGACGTATAAGGCGTGATTCGATTAAAAATATTATGCTCGCGTGGCACAAACTTAACTTTCTGATTGGACACTTCGAATTTGAGGTATAATAATTTATATCAAAGAATACGAGTGCTGTTAAATATCAGTGTGTCCATTAAATAAGCCTAAATTACACCTGATGTGATACCCTCCAACAACGTCACACTTCTTCATTTTAAAGAATTACACTCAGCAACGAATAAGATGCAAAAAAATTTTCTTTTAAATCATTATGCATATACCTGACATAAATTTCGAATACTGCATATATATCAAACAAATTGAAATATTAGTGAGGAAATTAGAATCTTCAGAATAAGTTACCTGTTTCAAGTGGAAAACTGGCTTAAGAGGTTGGTGCATGGCACTTTATCCATTGGAGCTAAATAACTTTACAGAACTGAAATTACTGCAACAATTTCGATAAATTCTCCTTCAGTATGGTGCGAAATGTCTGCCACTGACTGCAGGCCAACAATTTTGTATCCGTCATATTCAAGGCGTGACCATGCATGCTTAAAAAATATAACTATAAATATAACTATATTGGAAAACGTTGTCTCTGCCTACAGTAAGACAGTGCACTGCATGATTTATCATGTCAGTTTTTGTTTAAGTTTATTTCCATTGATAAATTGCCATTGATAGTCATGCAAGCACATTGAAAAAGTAAAAGAGTATAGTTGTGAATTGTTCGTCTTCATGTATAGATGCAAAGATATGGTCAACCGCCTCAAGAACTAGTTGGAAGTGGGGTAAGTAAATCTTTCCAATTACAAACCATATCTCTCAGGTTCATTGGTATAAACATTCCTTTACATCAAGCTCGAGAATTTCGGTTCTTTCATTATAATCTGGTTGTTAAAGATTTCAGAGTTGTTTTTTTAATGTTTACAAGAGGTATTTAGATAAAACATCACAATTTGTTATTAATGATTATGTACAGGGTAATGTACATCCACGAAATTAACCTTGGGCAAAACAGAGTACATGCCGAAATATTCCACGCATTAGCTACATATAAAATTGGCGTGGCTGCTTTTCCTATATTTGTACTATACTAGGCTATCTAACTGCATGAGGGGTATTGTAGATGGAAATTATCGAGTGGAAATTTATGTACATTTATTAGACCTAACCAGGAACAAATGCGAAAAACGCAACTTTAGGTCCCTGGCAGGAATTGAACCTGCGGCCCTGCGATTTCGTGCAGCACTCTAACCAACTGAGCTAGAGAGGCCAGTTGTCGAGCTCTAACAACAAGTTCATGTATATATACTAGGGTATACTGCCGTGTATAGGTTTTGGTAAATATCAAGATTTTTTTGGCATCTCACTCGATTGAATAATATAGGTTAAAAATATATAGATTTCCACTCGATAATTTCCATCTGCATGCAATGTCCTTCAACTATTATCGGGTGAGATGCAAAAAAAAATCTTGATACCGCACTCTCGGAATGAACGAATGTGAAAGGTAGGTATACTGTTCTAAACTAGACCAATATTGCACTAAATACTTCGACAGACTTTGTTTTACTTCGAGCGATCTCGCAAGTTACAAAGAAGTAAAGAACCTACCTTGTTCTCACATTTTATGGTTTAAACCATCGCGTATAATACAATTTACTGTTTATTGTTGAAGCCATACTGTATTTCAACGTGCATGATATCAGGGGCGGGTCTAACATCATCTGCTGGAAAGGGTGCAGCTTTTCCATTGGGGGATGCATGTATGAGGGAGCCTTACTGCCCGCTCTCCTCTGCAGTCTGCAACGCGATACTATCCCAACATTACCATTATTTGAGATGGTCGTCAAATCTGCATGTTCGCCGTTCTACATAAAATAACACGTTTCTGATATAAAAAAACTACTTGTCCTTATAAATATTACTAAATACTACATTTTTCATTAAAAATTAAATGACAATAATCCTATAAATAGTTAAAAAATCAAGAACATTTTCTAAGCTATAACAGTTATTTTGTTCGCCGTTCTATTATCTTTTATATAATCTTTTATATCGGCTTTTTTATCACGTATGCGTGACTGGACAGCAGTATAGTAAATTTGCTTGCTAACGTACAGTATATTTGATATTTTAACTCCAGGTGCAAGGCCAAGGGGCTTTTGGAGAAAATTTTGGACCAGATAAATGTCCAGTGATGTGACCGAATGATTATCAACAGAGTGAGATATAGGGTGTATTTAATTTGAATCCATGTTGTTTTCCACTTCTCAGCCGAAGTCAATGTGGACCGCTTCGGTTTTATCACAATCACAGGCGTATTTAAATCTAATGTTAACTACTATATGAAGAAGAGAATAATATTGTGATATGAAAATATTAATGTTTGTTCTAAATATTTTCTGGAATCCCAGAATGAGAGCAATTGTGAATCAATTATGGCTATTCATACGCAGAAAATGATATAAATAATGTACTGTAATAGAATATACTTATATATATTGTACGGATATACCCATAGATATCTTATATATACCAGATAGTGCATCTAATTATTCTGCAATTCAAGAATTGAAGCCGTGATTGCAGACTCAGGATATTCCCATGAAATGAGAAGACTCGTATGTTTTCTATTTCCTAAACAGGGAACTTAAACATTAAGTTAAACCTATTCCAAATACATTTTCAAACTATTCAAATGATGAAAGTTATTGTTGTTTTTAAGCGTTTCTTAGCGAGTGGGAAACTCCAACAAGGCCGCCATCTATTCAAATGGGAGTAACCGCTGGAATATTCTTGGCTTCAATGTTACTAAAAGAGATGCGCTATCTAGTGTATATAAGATATCTATGGATATACCATATTATATTTTAGTACAGTGTATAATAGCATGGTGAATCATTAAATCAATTTTTTTTTACGTGATTTCTTGTTTATTTATCAATTTACACAGACGATATACAGGTACAATCGGAAGAATAGACTAACATGACTGTGCATTCACCTCGACTTCGTCTCGATGAATATTCCCCGATAATCACCACGCTTTCGCTGAATAATTGTTAAATTTAGTTGTCAAATGAAATATTATTGATAATAGAGATTTCAAAAAGTCGATATTTGAAGAAATATATTTCCCAAATTTTCTTTAGCAGACAACAATTTTATATTTATCATTTAAATTCCATATTTTAATTCCTTGAAATCTAATGTTAAAAAGTCCGTAATTTGTCCTTACGTTGTCAAGATAGTAAGATGTCTTAGAAGCTATAGTTGAGTGTTATAATTGTGAATCTGATTGACAGGAGTGAAGAAATCAGAAAAAATGATGGTAGCTAATTGTTATTATATAATTTCTGCATAAATATTGCCGTATGAAAATTGACGAGATCAGGAAATTTAAGTATTTTAAGTTTAAAGAAAGGAGTAGAATGAGCATCAAATTGTGAGAAAGTTATAATGTGGGTTGCCTTTTTTTGAAGAATAACAAGAGGTTGAACAGTAGAGAGATAAGTGTTTCCCCCATATTATGATATATATCTATCCAGATAATATCTTAGTTCAGATAATATTCCTACATACTACGATTTATCTTCTTAGCAATGCAATTAACTTGAGACTTCCAATTAAGATGGGAGTCTATAAAAAAACCTAAATATTTTGTACTATAATCTGGTTTAAGGTGCTTTCCATGCATTTATTATTAAGATGGGAACAAACAAAAGTTTCTTTTATGCGGGATGAAAAATAAAACAAGATTTTTCTATATTAAGAGAAATATATTTGCATATAACCATTCACTAATCCTATCCAGTTCTCGATTTATATCAGATTCATGAGTAGACAAATTTTTATGTACTTTTTAAAACACGAGAAGGAGTGTTTTATCATATTTAAAACGCGAGGCGCTGCCAAGCGTTTTAGATATGCTAAAACGCGAGTCGGAGTGTTTTGAATAGCTTAAAATACGACTACAAAAGAATACTAATTAGGATGAACAATTATATAATCATACTAATTAGGATGAACAATTATATAAAGAATACTAATGAAGATGAGTTCTATCAGATATAAAGTCACTCCACGTGATCTATTATGGCTGACCTGATTTGCCACAAGGTTTATGTCTTTTTAATGAGTATTTTAAGCTTATAGAATAAATTTGAGTTATCAGCAAAAAGATGGAAATCAAATATATTTGAGCATCTGCTAAAGTCATTTATGTATAAAAGCAAGAGAAGAGGGCCTAAGACAGATCCTTGTCAAATTCCACAATTTAGGCTACATAAGTCAGAGGAAATATTGTTTAGATAAACATACTGTTTTCTATTACTTAATATGACTGGAACCTATCCTTTGTAACTCCTCTGATATGCCATACATCTCCAGCTTTTTAAGTAAAATACCATAGTTCACAGTATCAAAGGCTTTAAATTTTGTGAGGTTTAAGGACCCCAAGATCTTTACCTACCATAGGCTCTGCATTGCAACAACTTACTGTAACTACCATGCATATAGGCTCTCCATAACAACAACAAAAACAACAACAACAACAACAACAACAACAACAACAACAACAACAACAACAACAACAACAACAACAACAACAACAACAACAACAACAACAACAACAACAACAACAACAACAACAACAACAACAACAACAACATGTAGCATGACCAAGAAAGAGCTGCAGGAATTGGACAAGATCATTAAAGAATATTACGAGAAAATCATATGCATGCATGCATGCATGCACGCACGGGAGTAGTGATGAGCGATTGTACAGAGGCGCCGGAATATCGATAATTGCGGGGGCAGATATTCATATATTCGTGTTCACAGACTGTAAAAACAATAGATTTCAAAAGAAATTAATTGGGCAGAACACGAATATATGAATATCTGTCCCCAATTATCGATATTCCGGCGCCTCTGCGATTGTATATATCAAGAGAACGAAGGTAGTGGGTTAAAGAGCTTGAAAAACGTTTTTGGACAAGAGTCACATGCTACAGTCCGATCTGCCAATGTGCACAAATGAGCCCACTTTTTATGATACAAACAGTTTAACTATGTTTTGAGTTCTTGAAAAGCCTGATTGTTGTTTCTTGGTCATTTATTATACTCTAGAAGCTTGAAAATATAAATAGTTGTCGAATAAAGCTCAATATTTTGGACACAAAAATGTAAACAAAGGCTTTGTTTACATACGGACTGTATAGATCACCTTTAATTAAAAGAAAGAAGTCGAAAAAGAAGGAAAGTCGGTTCTACGACAACTCGAAATTGTCACATTCCAAGGAGCAGGAGTGGATAAAGATAATGTTAGAAAGAAAAAGGAAAGAGCAATGGGCAGATTTAACGATTAGTGCCATCATCAACATGCAAGAGCAGTGTATAGAACTCAACATAGAATTTTAATTTTAAATAGACCATGTTTAATGATTGTAGTTTGGCTTTACTTCAATAATTGGTGACCAATAGGAAGTTTAAGCTTCGCGTTTCCGGGAACGGCAAACAGCAGGTTCGAATTTTATTGGCAAAATCTTCGTTGAACGTTTTCGTTTCATATTTTCTTTCTTGTGTCGAAAGAATAGGCATCCAATGCAGTTTTAAAACAGCAAGTTCATTTACTCTTTATTGCCTGATACCGTAAAATTTTTCTTTGCCGGGCGTTTGCCGTTTGCCGTATAACGCGAAGCTTAAACTCTCTAGTATTACCACCGATGATTCACGGAAAAATTGTAAATCCGGACTTTTGGAACTTTTGTTGAACTCAACCGGATTCAACAATATATACAGATATGGACAGTATATAGGGTAAACAATCCTGGGGGAGATGATTCAAATTAGGCTACGTCCACACTGATCCGTTTTCGTATTGTTTCAGGTATATTAAACCATTGTTATATGTTCCCTTGTGTGGGAGGAGAGCAATACGAAAACGGATTAGTGTCGACGTAGCCTTATATATTCTGTATGGAGTTCATGCATGGGGTTGGCCAATATAAATTTTAACACTTACGAGATTATAATTTAAATTTTAGTCACAACGGTTCTGACGGGACTCACTTTGTCCAACATTTTGAGAGAATATAAAATAAATTCAAAGAAACACACTTTATCGTTTAAATTCCATCCTCACTCTTCGCACTTATAGGCGCCATGTAAATCATGCTCTACTTCCCGTCTCGAAATTTTTCATGTAATTTGTTTTGATCCCCATCAAAACGATAAAATCCACGCATGCTCAAATTGGACTGGATATTACCTGCATGTTAAATAGCGGTGGAAGCCGAACAAAGGGAGTCAACCGCGCGGAAACTAATTATAATTGTTCTTTGAGCAGCTTTATGCATATTCAAATGATCTGATGATTGAACAGTTCATTACTTTGATATGCATGCATAGTCTAGTTCTTCCAGTCTCAGCTACATGTTATATATAGATCTCAAACTCATTAATAATTCATGAGTAAATTAGCCAACCATATTGCTTTATTTTGCTCACATGATAATACCAGATACATGGTGAAGTATATTGATCTAGGACTGAACCAAAATTAATTCAGTCACTGGACTGGATCAAAATTACTCACTTCATACATTCGTATAAGATGTCATTTCAAATCCCTCCAATTCGGAATGGACTAGATTTCATGAAGTCCTCGCATTTTGATCCAGTCCTCGCGGTTTCGCCTCGGACTTGATCAAATTGCGCGGACTTGGAATCTCGTCCAGTCCTCATATATCGGATTTGAAGTATTTCTTCAACTGCAATTTGATCCCAGCGCAGAATGCGTCATTTAGATGCGCAACCAAAACTCACAGGCTGACAGATTTCGTCTTTGAAAAACAGCCATTTTATGTTATTTTATCTTTTGTGTATACTATAATTAAACGTGCGGGCTTACGTGTACGCACGTGTGCTTTTTCGCTCCAATAATGACATCTGTTAAGAATATTTTGTACCGTAACTTTTGCTTAGCGAAGAACAAACTGAAATGGTTAGGATTTGCCATTAGTGATCATTACATGATCTTCGTTGTTCGTAAAATAAATATCCAGCGCAAACAAAACAGTCACAAGAAAGTGGAAATTCGTAATTTAAAATATTTTAATGCTGAGAGTTTTCAAGCTGACCTGCGTGGTCAGGAATGGGAATTATTAGATAACAATCTCTGCGTTGATAAGATGTGGGACACATGGAAAACACTTTTCGTACGAGTTCTTGATAGGCATGCCACAATCAGGGAAAAGAGAGTTAAAAGTAAACCAAATGTTCCTTGGCTCACTAGTACAATTAAAAAACAAATCCGCGATCACCTTAAATCTCTTGCTATTGGACATAAATCCGAAAATTACTGGAACGCATACAAAACCTCTAGAAATCGCGTAACTGATGCATTGCGAGAAACAAAAGCATCATATTATAAAGGAGAATTTAAGAAAATCAAACATGATCCCAAACAAGCATGGAAAACTGCAAATAAAATCCTAAACCGTAAACAAGAAAGTAGAGAAATAGAGAGGACAAATTTCACATCCAACGGAGTTAGCGGAGTGTTTCAATAATTATTTTCATCAATATTGGTCCAGATATTGCCAAAAATATCGACAATGGTGACAGAAATTTCAAGGATTACATCACGACAACAACTTTTAATTTTCAAACAGTGTCTGAGTCGAACGTATACAGACTTCTGTTATCTCTAAATATAATCCTCGTAAATCTACTGGAATTGACAAAATCCCTGCTAAAATTATTTGCAATGCTGCTCCTGTAATTACAAATTCATTGACAAAAATTTTCAATATGGCCATTATAAGTGCAACTGTTCCTTTTGAGTGGAAAATAGCAAGAGTCACTCGCATATTTAAAAACGGCCCACGAAACTTATTAAACAACTATCGCCCCATTTCTATCCTCCCTGTAGTAAGTGAACTTTTTGAAAAAGTATTATACGATCAACTCCATGAGTTTCTTGTTACACAGGAGTTATTGTCCCCTCGTCAATTTGGTTTCAGGAAGTTTCATTCTACAGCCTCTGCTCTTTTAGATAGTACAAATGAATGGTTTATTAATATGGACCGTGGTTTGTTTAATATAGCTGTTTTTCCTGGACTTACAAAAGGCGTTCGACACCATAGATCATGACATCCTCTTAACGAAACTTGATCTTTATGGCCTACAGAATCCATCATTAAACCTCTTAGGATCCTATTTAACGAATAGAACCCAAATGTGCTCCGTCAATGGCGCTCTGTCGGGCACGAAGTTGGTTACATGTGGAATCCCTCAAGGTTCAATTCTTGGCCCGCTCTTATTCTTGATCTACATTAATGATCTGCCTAACAGTTTAGAGTACTCGTCGACAAGAATGTTTGCCGACGATACGACTCTAACTGTATCTGGCAACTTGGCAAGTCAATTCAAGATGTAGAGGTGGCCATAAATCATGACCTTACCAACGTTAAACAATGGCTTTCTGCAAATAGATTATCTCTTAATCTAGTCAAAACTGAGTATCTACTAATAGGATCTCGGTACAACATAAATAATTTACTTGCTGCTCCAAACGTATTTGTTGGTGATACACCAATTAAAAAGGTCAAAGAAACAAAAGCGCTTGGAGTTCATATTGACGAGTTTCTATTGTGGGATAAGCATATTGATAAAATTACTAAGAAGATTTCATCCGGAATTGGGGCGATCAGAAAGCTAAAATCTTGTGTGGATCATAATACATTAATTTGTGCTTATAATGCACTTATACTTCCACACCTAGATTATTGTTGCGAAGTTTGGGACACCATTGGTGCCACACTTTCTGATCGACTCGAGAAACTACAAAATAGGGCAGCTAGAGTTATTACTGGCCATAAAAACGAACACGGTCAATCTGAGCTTGCTCTAGACGAACTGAAATGGAAACCTTTAAGTGAACGCAGAACACATTTCGTAGCAAGTCTTATGTATAAAATAACTCGCGAACTGGCGCCAAAACGACTAACCAATATTTTTCAAAGGACGTCTTCCTCTTATTACTATAATATGCGAGGCTCTTCCACCAAACTCTTTTTGCCCAAACCTAAGACTGAATATCTTAAAAAAAGTCTTAGTTATAGAGGAGCGAAATTGTGGAACAGCCTTTCTGATGAAGCAAGAAACAAACACACTCTTGTTTCGTTTAATTCATGTATACGACACCTGGCCAATTAATTAATTAATTAATTAAATAATTACCTTAATTAAAAATATTCAACAGTACTAACATTAATTTAATTTGTAAATAATTATATACTGCTAGTTGTATTTATAAATGTATTGTAATTGTTGTTAACTGTAATGTAATGTATGACCATAATTTGTATCAATTGTATTTTTTAACTATTTAAATCCCCTTTGGAAATCAGCCTTCGCTGTAGGGGTTAGCGTAGTTAAATAAAGTTCTACCTACCTTACCTACCAATTTAAAATTTTAGTCAAGGTTGACGTATAGACAACCGTGTGAAAATATCATTAAATACAAATACAGACGAATTTGTTCGCGCGAAGTGAAAATGTGTTTGGTAAACGAAAACATTTTCCGCAAAAATATTTTTGCATGGCTACTCGATCACATTGACGAAATTTGTCCTTACCTGCATTAATTAACAAGTTACGAGTAAAATGTTTACCGTTTGCCAATTTTTTTTTTCCATGACAATTACACCTGTTCATTTTAACGAAGCCAATAGTACAATACCCCATGCCCGTGTATATATTTGTCATAGAAAAACCTGGCAAAGTTTCCGATTTTCTTCCGATTTTTGAAACAACTCACCTAAAAGTGGAGATATCGTTCACGATCTCGCCAAATAGAATATGTTTTACAATAACTCGTCATTCGTTAACTCGTTCGTTCACTTTGGTCTATTCGTACATGTTTAAATATGCAAACCAATCAGCTTTCGCGATTTGAACTGCTTCGTACCCAGGCGCTATGTGTTGTTCTATGGCTTGCGTGGCCTTTGCGTGGATTAATTTGATCGATTTTCCGTTTTTCTCCCTCGCGTGCTGTCCCGCGTGCGCTTAATGAAGTAAACAAACCAAAGCGCCTGGGCACGAGGCAACGATTTCAATGAAACGACTTGCATATACTTGTATATTCGTTCGTTCTCGTTCTTCGGTGCAGGTTAACTTGTTGTTAAATGGCACCGTAAAGCCCGGTTCACATTGATCGGCGATGTTCTACGATCCATTGTCTGTGAGCAACGAAGAAGAAAATGCACAAAACATTTTATGCATCAATGACCACCGACAATGGGCATCGCCGATGTTTACGATCAATGTGAACCAGGCTTAACACGAGAACGAACGAATAGCCTCATTAACTAAACGACTGTACAGTTCACATTCGCTCAACTCAACGCTTTCTATTGGCTGAGACTAGTTTAATTATATCCGTTTCTTTAGTTGAGATATCGTAGTGTTAAAACTCTTTGTGATTAAATTTGTATTCCTGATATAAATTACTACACCATCTGTACGTACATGAAATGATGACCAAAGGCAGCAGACGAATGTATGAATATTTGGCATCCACACATAATTATAGGAATCATTTGAATTCATTCGAATGGGAAACATTATTAAAGTGGCACTCGCGTCATGATAAAATTTTTTACCATTTTCTTAAACGAAAATGCTCTTAAAACTGTATAGTAACTTGTTTTGAAGATTTTTGTTCCCATGCTTAGTTCTTGAGATATTTCATTTTGTTTAATTTGTAACCATGCATGCGACGTCAATTACTCAATTACATGTATAATGAGATATCAGTAATTGTTGTGTATCTTTGCTATTAATATTTTATCAAAATCTTTCCAAAGATGCGGCGCGTTTGTTAATTAAGCATATTGTTTTTTTAAACAAATCCGTCAAAAATAGCAAAGAGATGCATAACAATTACTGATATCTCATTATATACGTCTTGAGTAAATGACTTCACCTGGTTACAAATTACAAAATGAAATATCTCAAGAACTAAGCATGGGAACAAAAATCTTCAAAACAAGTTACTATACAGTTAATGAGAGCATTTTCGTTTAAGAAAATAAAAATTTTGACGTGAGTACCACTTTAAATCAATTTACATACTTGCATATTCGTTCGATCGTTCTCGTTCTTCGGTGCAGGTTAACTGTTAACATATTAATATAACTTTAGGCTAACCTCTATGACATTCGTAGTAACTGCATATCATCATTATTAATCGTGGTTGGTCGTCTATATGACTACTGTATAGTCATGCACAAAAAGCTACGAATTAAACATGTCAGTTTAACAATGTTTCACATTCGAATGTCAATTCAAATGATTCCTATTGGCTATGTGCGTGCCAAATATTCATACATTCTGCTGCCTTTGGTCATTTCAACTGTGCTAAACAACTATTGAACATATCATAAATTAAAATGTCGCCAGCACTTTTATTGTTTGAAACTCCCTTAAGGATATAGAGAACGTACACATAACAGGGCCTTTTTTAACATATTGCTGGTGCAAATGCTCCCCCAGTCCCCCCTTGTGCCCCCACGAAATCACATTTTGCCCCCCCCCCCCCCCCCTTCCCAGGACAAGTCCCTTTTCCCTAAAATTATACAAACAAACCAGTGAAGATTAACAAATACATAAACGGAAAGTAAATTTTAGGCTTTATCCTTCGTCCTTGTTTAACAAAATCGATTTAAATTGTTACTTTTTTCTACCACTAAGTAATGATAAATTATTGTTAATAATTTTTTTATTTTTTGGATGCTCAGAATGCAGGAAATAGCATTTCCGGGTTTCAAATTTCAAAAATTTTCGGGGGATTATCCCTCTAATAAGTAATGAGAAATTACAGTTATTAATATTCTTTTTTACTTTTTGTGCATTATTTCAAATACAAGTATAGTTAGCATAAATTTTAGAGCAAATTGGAATGCTCAGAATGCAGGAAATGGCATTTCCGTGCTTCAAATTTCAAAAATCCCCCATTCACGCGTGGTATGTTGGCCGCACACCACACGTGGCCTTCAGCCAAGCCATTGCTATCCCTTATAATATATTATCTCACAGAAAGGTCCCTTAAAAAAATGCCCCCCACGGGAAAATCCTTAAAAAAGGCCCTCAGTCACGTAACATACGCTGGCTAACAAAACATACCATGTGGACTGTCTACAGAGTGTCACAAAAATTGAACTATTGAAATAAGTTAAACGTATATTGTTATAATTTGAATGCCCTAGTACTTTGCTGAACCCATGCACAAGTGATAAAAGCTTGACATAAGTAAATTTTATGCATAAAGAAAATGTTAAAGAAGCTGCCTTAAATTTTCAAGAGCAGAAAATCGTGCGCTTTACAAAGATATTTTAATTTGTTAATAAGTCAATATTTATAATATATGCACCCTTGTCAATATTTTACGCATCTTTGCGTTCAGCTTAGTGCTAAAGGCATTCAAATTATAACAATACGTTATTTCAATAATAGTTTGGTTTTTTGTGTGTTTTTTTTAATAGACCCTATTGTTAGAATTTGATCATGAATGTCTCAGCACTCTGGTGAACCCACAAGCCATAAGGCCCCGCGTTTACACTGTACCGGATTCGCTGGTCATGACATCAGTTTTAACGGTCAATGAAATAGCCTAAACATTTATAATGGTAGTGAACAAGCAGAAACATGCTGACTTTATCGAAAGAGTAAACCTTTTGTTGTTAAACGTTGCTCCTGGGCAGCAAACGAAGATGTCGGATCAGCGAATCTGGTACAGTGTAAAAGGGGACTAAGTGCATAAAAGCTTGACATAGGCTAATGAAATTTACGCATGAAGAAACTCGTGTTAATTTAAAAGAATGTTTCTTATTAGAGAGATTTATGTAATATATACGCAGCGTTATAACAATGAAAACTCGTTCTGTGGTGAGTTGAACCATTTTGTCCCGAACTGAAAATATGACTAATTTGTAATTTTATCATTTTTCGGCAAAGTAATTCTCTTTTAAAATGTAATTAACAAGCTGCTTTAAATTCCCAAAAGCAGAAAATCATGCGCTTTACAAAGACATTTTAATTTCTTAATAAGTCAATATTTATTATATGCACCCTGTCAATATAATTGTACGCATCTTTGCGTTCAGCAGCTTTGTGGCTAATAAACGGTTTGGCGGCTAGTGCTTAATAAATCAGCTTTTGATTAGTTCGTGAATAAGTAGAGTTGTCATGTGTTAAATGATTACTGTTTAAAATCACACAATAAAATAGCCACAAAAATGCCGAGTGCTGAAAATGACACTCTAGATTTTAACTAAATTTTCCCTGGGAAGCACACTCCCATCCAAGCAAATTCAAAAAAATACTAGCGTATCATGCGGGGGAAACTATTGAAACAGGTTTATTCCAAAAAGACTT